AGGAAGACCCAAGCCGAGGGTTATCAAGTCGAGCACCCCCTGTAGTCACTAAGTCCTACGACAAAGAGATTGAAGAGGTGCTCGCATCAAAGGAGGTTCGCAAGAGGGGCGTTCCTCGCCAAAATCATTACTTGATCAAATGGAAGGGACTACCCGAGTCGGAAGCAACGTGGGAACCTGAGGAGGACTTGTGGCAGTTCCGGGACAAGCTCGAGGCGCACAAGGCGACGAGGGCGTCGCCAAGTTAGGTGGGGGAGATTGTCACGAGTTTCCCACACTCAGCAGATTACGCCGCGGCATGGCCAGATAATTGCGCCGCGGCATAACTCGTGACCAAGCCCACAGCTGGAGTCTAGAGATACTAAGGAGAAAGGGGCAGAATTCCGAAGGTTCATAGAATACTCTAGACTCATGTAGATAGGTATACACTTGTATAGGATACTCTAGAATACCATAGAATTGTATAGAATATTCTAGAGATAAATTGTAGCCGTTAGATCAAATAGATCTTGACCATCCATTGAGGAGGAGGCAAGTATAAATACCCCTCATGGTGGTTCATTTGTAACCATCGAAGTTTCCAAGCATTCAATAAAGTGTTAAGCTTTCTTCAAGAGATCACTTGCCTTTATCACTTTCCTAGCCAAGCACTTAGCGCACACACCTCACTAAGACATCGGTGAAGGCTGACTTAGCTATCGCGAGGGGCGAAAAGGAGCTAAGGCCGCACGTGAGCTTGTTAAGGGAACAAGTCCGTGACATAAAGGTTAGGAAATAGCTTAGTCAACACCAAACCATTGGCGGACTCAAATATTTGTGAGAGCGGGGCACACTAGACACAAAAATTAGTCTATAATAAAAATTCTAAATGTAATAAAAATGGTTAAAAAATGTATTAAACTATACAGAATAGTTGATTACATATTAAACAGCCTACGAGTTTTCATATTCTGAAATGTTGCATAACAGTTTCATTGTTGATGCTTCTAAAAACATCTCTCTCGATGTTGTCCAAACAATCCGTAAGATAGTCACATCTCATCTTATTGCGAAGATCTGTCTTGATAATATTCATCGTAGAAAAGACTCTTTCAACGGTGTCCGTTGCAACTGGTAACACTAAAGCCAACTCAATCAGACAATATACCAAATGAAAAGAATTGTGAACTTTAAGTTCAATCATCTTTTTACAAAATTCACCAATAGTTTTTGTGCGGCAGAAAATAACTCATTTGTTCTCATTTCATATATCCACACCTGGAGTTGCTCTTTCAGCTCCATTCGATCAACAAATGAAAAATCGCATGAATATAACTCCGCAAGGTTGAGTAGCTTTGACTCGCAAAAATTGGATAACTTCGGCTTTTATCATTCTAGTCTTCCACATGTTAGTGGGTTTTTAGACTTTTAATACTCCGTACTTTTAGTTGCCCGCACATTGGCTACTTTTTTGCATTTTAACTTTTTTGTTACTTTTTGTTTTCAATTATTAATTATTTTTCGTTTTTTGATAATTCTATATCTTTTATTTTAATTCAACTAAAATTTAAATATTTTGTATTAATTTTTTATTTATATAACCGTAACATTTTAGTATCTTAATTATCAAATACTGGTATGAAGTCGGGGCACTCGTTTTTATCCTAAGTACTACTAGTGAAATTCCGGGCTCGAAGCGGGGGCACGTGCCCCACCTAGCCCCCCCCCCCCCCTAGGTCCTCCACTGAGTCACCAAAGCAATGCCTAAATTATTGTATACTTGATTGTTATTTAGGATGTTTTTACTTGGACTGTAATTCGCTGATCTGGTCTAGTCTGGTCTGAATTGGTCTGTCTGGCCAGTCTGTGTGGATCGTTGCGCTTACCGCTACACAAAAAGCAATCGCTGATAGTGTAGCACGCCCCTCACCATTTATAGCACATGCGAAGCGCCACGCGGTCTGATTGCACCGGCAGGCTGGCTGTTGCTGGCACCGCATACCCGCGGCCCAACAATCTCCCCCCCAGCACCTGCCAGCCTACAACTGCGCAGCATGCTGTTGCCGGGGGTCAAACCTGTGACCTTGGCTCTGATACCAATTGTGGATCGTTGCGCTTACCACTACACTAAAAGCAATCGCTGATAGTGTAGCACGCCCCTCACCATTTATAGCACATGCAAAGCGCCACGCGGTCCGATTGCACCGGCAGGCTGGCTGTTGCTGGCACCGCATACCCGCGGCCCAACAGTCTGGTGCCTTTATATTTTTATAACTATCCAAGTTTGATCTGGTCTGATCTGAACTGTTTTGGTCTGGTCTGGGACGAATTATCATCCAAGTAAAAACGTCCTTAATCATAAGTTTGATACGAAGTAAATTTTTTCAATTTAAACATATATAACAGCTTCCTAGAGTGTTATAGAAAAAAAATATTTGAAAAATAGAAATGCGTGATTAATACAGTTATTATGACAGAAAACCTTTATCATTTCACGCTAGCACGATTGTGCGAAATTATTTAAGAAAAACTAAATTATGTGCATGGTTGATATTAAAATAATAAAAGTGTAAATAAAGTTATAATGAATTAGAATATAGAAATATCACTAAATATAGTATACAACAAACTTGATAGGACGTACGACTGTACGAGAGAAGAAAAGTTGGACAATTATAATAGGATGAAGGGATTACATATTATAATAGATTATAATAGTTATTGATTTGTGAAAATACAGTTTAATTGATATGTAAATGGTATTAATATGATCTGGGTTCGGGGTTCCAATAATGTAAATATATATAATATGATCGAAACTAATTTAAAATCTTATATGATGAGAACTAGAAATAAAGCACTTGATTTATAGAATCTAATAATATGAATAGAATAGGTTTTTCATAAATCTATAGTACTATACTTCATTCCAAAAGTTTCTTGCTTGAAAAGCTTTTTAACCTATTTCTTGTTTGTTTAAAAAGTTAAACTTATTTTAATATATACTCCGTATAATATTTCTATCAAATAGGGCAGTGGTGTTAAATTTAATTAGCCATACCAATAAATAACTTTGTTTAATGTTTAAACCCGCACAGGTAGCTCAGTTGGTCGAGTGGTGGGAGATTTGGATCAACGGACCAAGTTTCAAATTCCCGCAGGCCGCAGCGACTGGGTGAATGTCACAGATCGAACCTGAAATAAGGTTGGGCTTCTGGTGCGCACGGGTGTATGAGCCTACCGCCACTTTACTGACTGAGTCACCGTGACTGACCTCCCCACCATCCTGTTGGGTCGGGGTGGGGGAGCCCCTGGGGTGGGAGATTCCAACTTTTTTTGGATCAATGTTTAATAAACGTACTCCGTATTTGAAACTGCAACAATGATTAGAGCCTTCGTACTCTTATAATGAAAAATCAAAAAAAAAATTGTACTCACCCTTATACCACTTTTATACCTACTATGTTTGTGAAGAGTTTTTTTTTTGTTTGTGAATCTCGATCACAGACAAAATATGTCTGTGCAAATTATTTTGTCTGTGAATCAGATTCACAGACAAAAATCCTTCACAAACATGGTGGATATAAAAATGTGTACAACAAGTTCTCATGAAAAATATATATACTCCTTATGATGGTGGAGTATTATGATTTTCATAGGGATGGGGAACTTTTTTGTCAAACATAATAAAATCAAGTACTAAAAAACAATATTCAAATGTTTATTTTTTATAGAGTTGATAATCTTCTTTTGAATGAAGTTATAACAAGTACTTAAAGTGTATTCAAATGTCTTAACTGATAGCACCTTTTAATATTCTACTAACCATTAACTACTTTACCTAATGATTATTTTTTGAAGTACCTCATGATTTTTTTTGCAAGAGCGTAATGATTGTTATAAACTCGAATGAGATTGATTAGTTTAACACTTTAAGTAATGACCCCCGACTCAGCAGACTTGGTCATTACGTAAATGAATAAGGGAGTGTTTGCAATTGCTTCAACTTTAAAAAAGTGATTTTTTAAAGTGATTTGGGGAAAAGTGATTAATCGTAAAAGTTGGTAGTGTTTGAGAAAAAAGTGATTCTGAAAAAGTAAAAGTTGGTAGTGTTTGGTAAAATAAGTACTTTTTGTGTAATAGAAAAAAGTGAAAAGCAGTTTAAAGCACCCTTTCACCTGCTTCCAGCTTTTAGCTTTTAAGTGATTAATTTAAGCAGAAACTGTCATTTGAAAACACTTTTTTTAACTTTTTTTAAGCCAAAAGCTGAAAAGTGCTTTTTTTAATCAACTGCAAACACTCCTTAAGTAATGACCCTTCAATGCATTAGATTAAGATTAACCTATTGTCTAGAAAAATTAAAAAAAAGTTGTTGAAACTGAAAATATGAGTCGAATGAAGTAAATTCTTGCTCTTCGCATATGAAATAGCAAATGTGAAAAATGTAATAAGAGGAAACAAAAGATAACTTTTGAATAAGAAGATGATATTATCGATGTAAGATACGATTACACTGAATTAAAGTTGAACTAAAATATTGAAATTAATAACATTCCAAGTTAGATGATTATATTTTTTTTCAAACAATTTCATCTCTTTATCCATACTCCTAATAAAATCAAATCAGACATAAATAGACTACATAAAACTACTTTGATAGTTGTAATGTACATATATAACAAACATTTAACAAACCACATAAATTGAGGCCAAATCATACAAATTTCAAGTGGCCAACCTTTTTTTTACGGGAACTAGCCAAAATTAAAAAAATATAGTCCAATTAAACACTACTAGTATACCATCCTCCCTATCGTATTAATTGCAACATTGGAATATAGACACTATTCATGTACTTTACTTTGACTATATTTTATTTATTAATGTATGTGAATTATTTTTTTAAAAAAATATTGTTAAATTCGTCTCACTACTAAGTTTTATAGTCTGACTTTTATTTTATTTTTACTAATACGAGATTAAATATAACGATGGTTAAAATTGTGCGTTGACAAACGTGAAAAGGGGAATGTTGCAACTAAAAAAGAACGGAGTAAGTACTCCGTATCATACTGTGTATATTGTGTTTGGAATTTCAAATAAACATATCATGGCAACTAAATTTACTATATACTCCCTATATTTATGCTAAACTTCTCTTTCAGTATAGTAATTAATTAGTCTCAACTAACAGTCACTATAGTGAGCAGATTTTGAAGAAAACGAACACAACTGTTTCCTAATTAAAGCAATCGAATCGACATTACTACTCCGCCTAACCACTGATACTTTTGCCAGTAATGATGAAGAAACTGTCTCCGAGCTTAACCCAGTGAGTGAACTCAGTTCCGGGATGGACTCGGCCAAAACTATCAACTTTATACTTTTCAGCAGAAACTCATTCCCAATGAGTTGGTTAAAGAGCCCGAACTCGGTAACCGAACTCTTCTTCTTTTGTAGCATTGTTTCCCGAACAATTTCCGTCAAGACCGCGTTGGATAATCTTCGGACCCCTCTTGACCCGCCCATTACAACTTTCGGGCTAACGGGTCTCTGCCCAGACGGCTGAGTTCGGTCTGGGCTCTTCCGGCCCGGCGCTGGTTGAGCCAGAGTTGCTGACACGAATACCGAGTCGAAGCTTTTGTTCTTGAGTCGACTCAGTGGGTCACCGAGAAGCAGAATTTCTTTGGCATCGACTAAAATCAAGTGCTTGAAGCTTCTCCTGAGCCGGCCGAGTAGCAGCGGGTAACAAGCCCATCTCCTCAAACCCATTGGGACGGTCTGGAGAAATCTGGCCAGGGAATTCTCCGGGTCAAGCTCGTCCGCTTGGAAACTCACCACAGAGCCATAAGACAACCGAGTCGACTCGGACTCTTCTTCCTTACTTGAACTGTTATTGCTCTTCGTTTTCCGACCCCATATTGGCTCCCCGCTCTCCCTCTCCTTCTTGGCGGAAACCATGAACTGGGCCGAGTCGAAACTCGTCAAGTTCCCGTCTTTGGCCGAGTTCTGAACGAGTTTCAGGAACGACTCGTTCTCTTCAAGAACTGTCCTTTCAAAAGAACCCGAGTTCGGCGGGAAAATGAGCAAAAGATCGGATTTTGAACTCAGCCCGGACCGGAACAAAAGGCGCAAGAACAGCCTGAGCTCACGCGGAGTGAGTGACTCAACTGCATGAGCCACGACAAGCTCGTTCATGGCTCTCGTGCCCCTTCTGTGCAGAATCCCCATCCCCTGTAATGCGTGTTCTGGGCTGTGTTTGGGGGACCTGGAAACCCAGAAAGATGAAGAAATTAACTTCCTTGATCTGGCGCGTGAAGCAGAGAAGGAAGAAGATGTGGGTTCGAAGGAGGAGAGGGTGAAGAGTAACAGAGTGACGCAGATGAGAAGGGCGCAGATGGAAATGGTGGACTGTGCGGCGGTGGAGGGGCGGAGCTTACTGAAGAGATGGCTGGATTTCTTCTTGGTAACGGTGGCTGAAGGATTGACAGCGGTGGTTTCAATTTCCGGGAAGAAAACGAACAGGAATCTCGTGCCTCTGCTCCTGCTGGATTCAGTGCTGCCGCTCATCTTCTTCATTGATCACTTTTTTCTATGCTGTCTGCGGGTTGCTTTAAGCTTTTTCATGTGAATGAGGGAGCTAAAGAGAGGGTAAAGGAAGAGCAAATAAGCTAAAAAGAGAAAGTACTCAAAGTAGTAACGTAATACTCCGTACTACGTTGATCTTTATTAATATGAGTGGATTTAAGGAACTCACTAATTTATTATGGAATCGTGTAAGTTATGTTAGCATATTTATCATCCTATACTTTTTGAAATACCGAGTTACCGACAAATATATGGTTAATTTTTTTTTTTTACATATATATGGTTAAATGCTTAAATAAAGTTAATAGATAAAAATGTGTCTTTTGATTATGACAGTAACTTTAATGATCATAATGATATTCAAATTTACAATGTAGTGATTATGATGATATACATAATTTAGGTGAGATTTTTGTCCATCACTTTTGTTTAAGTAATACTTAAGATGAGACATGGTAATTCGTATTTTTTATTAAGCATTCACTCGTGAAATGTGTGGTAATGCTCACAACAACATAGTTTATACTTTATAGACGAGTCATACTCTCTCCATTCTTTTTTATTAATTCTTCTTTCCTTTTTTTGACGTTTTTTATTTGTCTTTTTGAGAAAATACTCGCATTTTTATTACTTTTACCTCACTTAATTTTATAAACTATTTTCTCTTTCTTACTTTACCATCACTTTACTCTTTTTAATACACTCTCTTTCCTACTTTATCATCACTTTACTCTTTTTAATATACCATTTTTCCTACTTTATCATTTACCCTACACACTTTATACTTACCCTACTATTTTATTATTAAAACTCGTGTCAAACCCTAAGAGGACTAATAAAAAAGAATAGATGGAGTATGTTTTTTAAACTTTTTGCTATTAATATGGTCAACCAATTAATTGTTGTTCTCTAGTTTGAATCGACATTTTTATCATATTCAAATGTTTAAATCGGTAAACGTAAAAGATTATTGGTCAAATTTGTAAAATGACAATGTTTTGCAAAATAGAGAGAGTCCTACTTTAATTTACCAAGAAATGGAGTAGCAATGTGACATTCATGTTATTTCCGTGTTTATAATTGTGTTTTTGATTAGTTTTGAGTGATTGTTACTCTAGAAATTACACACTTTTGGTGTAATAGTTTAGTTTGTAAAATGTTTGTAAATTGTTTAGATTAGGTTGGTTCTGAGCCCAAACAGGTCCAAGACCACTCTAGGGACCATTGGTAAACATCACAAATGGAAGGAAGGTGCAAAGATTTCAAGAAAAGATGAAGATTCTGATTTTTGGTAGTGTACCCGGTCGAGTATGCTCTATACCCGATCGGGTAAGTTGCTGAAAAGTCAAATCGAATCAACCCGGGAACAAGGCAACATGCAGGAGGATTTTTTAACTCGATCGCGTATCCATACCCGATCGGGTGGCCGACATACCCGATCGGGTATGACCCCAGATTTTCAGTTTCGAGGAAATAACCCTTACCCGATCGGTTGGGCTGAAAACCCGATCGGGTACACGACCCTGCAGGCCTAAAAAGCCTATAAATACACCACATTTCCTCCACAAAAAAGACACCAATTCCTTTATACGCTTAAGCTCAGTTTAGAATAGCATTTCTCTATATTTCTTTTAGCATGTTTAGTCTCCAAATGAGGAGCTAAACTTCCATTTCTTGGTTTTGCTCTTGAAGCTTGATTGATTATTAAAGTTGTGAGTTATTTTCTTACTTTCTCCTCTTGATTATTAATTCTTCCCTTAATCTCATTCTATACCATTGTTGGAGGGTGGCTAAGTGACGATTAGTTAACGTTCCGACATTGATTATTACTAGAAACGTTCAACGAACCGATGGTTAAACGTTGAAGGTTTCATAAGTAAGTAACTTCGGTTTATTAATGCACGGTCGTGGTTAATAAACTTAAGAGGGATTAATTTTGTTGGTTAAACCGAAACCGTTGTGTTGAGGTTATCAATCTCAATTGATTTCATCAAGGAGTTAAAGAGGTTAAATGCTACTATTAAATCGGTATACGGCGTTGTTCTATATTTGGTTAATAGTAAGGGTTATTAATGAACGGTCGTTGTTAATAACTACCCTCGATGAATTGGATATACTCCTCGATTGAGTATTCGAGAGGGGATAAGTTATAGATATAACAATGATCGACTAAAATATATCAACAAGTGGAAAGTAGCAAGACCAAGTCCCTTTTATTCCTGAATTTAATCCCATATAACTCGTTCATCTTCGTGTTTAATTTAATTAAATCACTCAACAAACAAAACCCCCCTTTATTTACTAGTTCATAAAAAGAGAATTATTCCTTTCCCTGTGGATACGAACTCTACTTCACCTATACTACGTGTAAGTGCTAGTAATAAATCTATTTTGAGTGCACTCACGACAAAGTGCACGTCAAATTTGGCGCCGTTGCCGGGGAAAGGCAATTAATTTTTCTTTTTATTTTATTTTAAGAAAAAGAAAAAAAAATATGGTTTGAGTATAAAGATTTCTATTTCTGCTGAGCTTTGTAGTACATGGTAAAATATCGTTCACTGAACGAAATCACATACCACTCAAACCCCGAAATAGAACGAACTCTCGAGCGGTTGAAAAACAAATTTTCAAACTCCGACTCGGGAGAATCATCAAGTGCTAGTTCTCAATCTAGCGAGACCGAAGAGCCAATCACTATGGCTCATGAAACAAGAACATTAAGGGAGCTCACAGCTCCGAATCTAAATCAACAACCCCTATGTATCACTTTTCCAACTCTTGATACGGGGGTCACATTTGAGCTTAAATCTGGGCTCATTCATCTACTTCCCTCTTTCCATGGCCTACGGGGGGAAGATCCTAACAAACATCTATCGGAATTCCATATTGTGTGCACGAGCATGTGCTCCAATGGTGTATCCGAGGAGCAAATAAAGCTAAGGGCCTTCCCATTTTCTTTAAAAGACACCGCGAAGGATTGGCTTTTCTACCTTCCTTCGGGTAGCATCAACACATGGGCTCAAATGAAAAAGAGCTTCCTCGACAGGTATTATCCCGCATCTATCTCTTCAAGTCTCAAAAAGCAAATCAGCAACATTGAGCAAGCAGATGATGAGACCTTGTACGAATATTGGGAGCGCTTTAAGAAATTATGCGCTAGTTGCCCATATCATGGATATTCGGAACAAGATCTCATCCTCTACTTCTATGATGGGCTTGTTGATCAAGATAGACGCATGGTAAATGCGGCATGTGGAGGGGGTATTGTTAACAAAACCCCTTCTCAAGCAAGGGACCTCATCTCCGAGTTGGCCGAAAACTCGAGACATTACAATGGGAGGTCATCATCAAAACGAGTTATGGCGGTGGAATCCAACAACTCGTTAGAAAGTCAAGTGAATGGCTTGACAAGTCAAGTGACCGGCTTGACTTCTTTGGTAAAAGATTTTCTTTTGAATCCCAAAACCCAAGAAGTCAAGGTCTGCGGTATATGCTCGACACAAGGGCACCCCACCGACTCCTGCCCAACATTACAAGAGGAGAACCCCGAGCAAGTCAATGCTTTGGGTTTCCAAGGTCAAAGAAGATATGATCCTCACGGAAACTCTCAACCTCCTCAACAATCAAACCCTCCTCCTCAACAATACAAACAACAGGGTCAAACATCGAACTCGAGCATGTCCACCGAAGACATGATTCGATCACTTGCCATGAATATGGCTACGATGCAGCAAAGTGTGACCCAATTTCAAGAAACCACAAAATCTAGCATCCACAACTTGGAGAGCCAAATCAGCCAAATCTCAAATGCCGTGAGTAGGCTTGAAGCTAAGGATTCGGCAAAACTCCCATCTCAAACGGAGCCAAATCCAAGGCAACAAGCTCACGCGGTCACTTTGAGAAGTGGCAAGGAGTTGGTTATGGCTAAAGCAAAAGCAAAGAGCCATGTTGGAGAAGAAGAGGAGGATATCTTGGTGCCAGGCACAAATCCTCACAATGAAGAAGAGAAAGAGGAGGAAATCACACCTCAAAGAAAGTTTCCACCACTCGATTCATACGAGCCGGTGCCACCTTTCCCGGAGGCTCTCAAGGACAACCGCAAGTACAACAATGACAAGGATATCTACGAGACCTTCAGCAAATGTGAGGTAAATATCCCTCTTCTCAATTTAATAAAAGGTGTTCCTAGGTTTGCAAAGTTTTTAAAAGAGCTTTGCACAATAAAAAGGAAACACAAATTGAATGGCAAACATAAAATCCAAGTAAGCGAAAGAGTGTCAGCCGTTTTTCAAAAGAAACTGCCTAAAAAGTATAGTGACCCGGGAATGTTCACTATACCATGTAAACTTGGAAATTCTAGTTCTTCTAGGGCTATGTTAGATTTGGGTGCATCAATCAATGTCATTCCATATTCTCTATATAAGTCCCTAGAGCTAGGCCCTTTACATGAGACGGGGGTTGTTATCCAACTTGCCGATAGATCCAACGCTTACCCAAAAGGTGTAGTGGAGGATGTACTCGTCATGGTGGATAACCTAATCTTTCCCGCTGATTTTTATGTTCTTGAAATGGAGAACGATAAAAATGCAGTCCCAATTTTGTTAGGAAGACCCTTTCTAAAAACGGCCAAAGCAAAAATAGATGTTTTTAGTGGCGTATTAACTATGGAATTCGATGGCGAAAAAGTTGAATTCAATATCTATGATTCCATGAAATACCCCACCGATAACCACTCTCTTTTTGCAATTGACACTTGCGACACTTGGGTCCAAGATGTATTTGAAGTTGAAGGGAAAGACATGTTACTAAGCTCGATTGAAAACAACATAGAGGACTTCACTATGGAATACTCTATGTCAAACAACATGAAGATGATGGTGGCGGAGTTAAATCAACTCCCACTTTTGCCACCGGGCTCTAAAGCCCTACCACTAACCATTCCGAGCGAGAAGCCACTACCATCTGTTTTGCAGGCACCGGAGGTGGAATTGAAACCACTCCCTGAAAATTTGAAACATGTGTTCTTGGGCGAAAATCACACTCTACCGGTGATTATCTCAAATTCCTTGGCCCAAGAACAAGAGGAGAGGTTGATTGCGG